TGTCTAGGCCCACATGTTCCCTAGGAAGACAGAAGAGCCTTCACAATGTTCTTTAGCAAAGGGTTTTCATCACTGACTCTAGGCATGCTCAGCCATGGGAGTGGCTGCAGAGCTAACATGCCTCTTTGTCACCCTGATTTCATGGGGGGCTCTTCTGTAATTCCATCACTCCCCACACTGCACCAGCACCTGGTACAATATGACACCAGGGGTATCTAGACTGAGATCCAATAAGCAGGCTGGCTTTCCTTGTTATGCTTCTTTGTGTGTCAATGTGTTCTCCAGTGTCACACAGTGACTGTATTTAGTACCAGGAAGGACAGGGTAGTGGCCTCACCTTATTACTGTCTGAGGAATTTACTCAAGAGGAATTTGTCATCTCCATCTCTCCAAAAAGGGACATACTGATGTTACCCTTTGGAGCATATAGCAGCGAGACAGGAATGAAGCAGTAGGAAATGTGGGGGCCCACGGGCCAATCCAGTAGATTTGCCAGATGGCAGGACTGGGGTTGCTAGGTTACCCACACACGGCTTGACATCCTCCTGGTTGTTAACCTGTCCAGTGAGAACCACAATCGTGTGCATTTCACAATTTAGTCATTCTTGCTGGAAATTGTTTCCTGGCCAGCAAAGTAGGTGTTAGCTATCATACATAGTTTTAGCTGAAGACACCTTCCCTTCACAGGGTTTGCTATGGAGTCCAAGTAGGTGGGTTTGGTAGGGCTGGGGACCTGAAGAACGTATAGATGTCCAGGGCAGCTCTGGGCTTCATCTTACCTCTTAGAGTAGCCCAGCAGATGGAGGCAGATACGCTCACACCCCATTTCCCTGCACTATGCAGTCATAGCAGAATGTACCCAGCATTTCATAACAGTATAGAAGGAACCAGTGGAGAGTCTTAAGCAGGTGATTCCAACAGAGAGCCGTCACATGCAACACAGTCCGATGAACCTGGGAAGATAATAGCTCATGTCCAGAGTCCCACAGCTAAACATTCCAGGGGGTCTGTGGACCTCATATGGAACACACCTGGGCAACGGTGACTGCATCCTGGGTGTGGACCTCACAGGAAGCTGTTTCTCCTAGGCTGGAGCAAAACATCCCACTCACTGGAGGCCCCTGAAGAAGATGGAGGCTGGTCCAGTGCTGAGGAGCTCGTCAATTCCTCTGATGCAGAAGAAGATGGTGGAGTGGGCCCTAAAAAGCTGGTAACATTGGCCTCCCTGTGGGGGGCTCAGGGTGGGCCCTGTGTCCCCTGAAGAGGAAGTAGTCTAGAAAATCCACCTTGGCCCAGGGCCCTCCTTTGCGGCCACTGCTCTTCATCCAGAAATACACAGCGCTCACTTGGATCACGATCCACTCCCCATAGTCCCATGGAACTGTGTGCCCACCTGCCTAGAGCTCAGGCATGCTTCACCCCTTCTTTTTTTTTTTGGTTTTTCGAGACAGGGTTTCTCTGTGTAGCTTTGCGCCTTTCCTGGGACTCACTTGGTAGCCCAGGCTGGCCTCGAACTCACAGAGATCCGCCTGGCTCTGCCTCCCGAGTGCTGGGATTAAAGGCGTGCGCCACCACCGCCCGGCTGCTTCACCCCTTCTTAAGGGGGCAGCCCACACCTCACATTGGCAGAATGTTCTAACCAAGCTTTCCTAAAGCAGTACCCATACTGGCTCGGAAATTAGCAAGGAGCTCAGGAGCCCGTAAAGACATGCAGTGCTGTGGACACATTGGCGCATCCATTTTTACCTTTAACATGGTCACAGTATGCGTTGTACCATCCCCCAACACTAGGAGCCTTTCTGGTTTAAACCAGAAACCTCAGCAAACCTCCACAAATGGCAGGACCTCAGCACAGCACTGCCCCCCCCCCCCCCCGCCGCCGTGCCGGCCCTCGGAAGCCCGCTCTGATGTGGGCACTGCTGCTGGTGTGTAGCTGGAACCACACAGGAGAGAGCGGGTAGCTGTGCTGTTAGCGTGCTGGCACTGGGAGGCAGCGAGTGCTGACACGCTGAAACCTCGGCCTTGTCCCCTCATCATCCTTAGGTTCCGGGTAAATACACGGTGGTGATGGATGACGAGAAGGAGGGCCCTGACACGCTTGCCATGAGGACCGGAGATATGGTGGAGGTCGTGGAAGAGGGCGCTGAGGGCCTCTGGTAAGACGGCAGTAAGCTCTCTCACCTCCGACATGCCTCTGTGTGATCCCACCTCAGACATGACATGATCTGTGTGATCCTACTTCAGACATACATGACCATGTGTGATCCCACCTCAGACATACATGACCTGTGTGATCCCACCTCAGACATACATGACCTGTGTGATCCCACCTCAGATATACATGACCTGTGTGATCCCACCTCAGACATACATGACCATGGGCAATCCCACCTCAGACATAACATGATCTGTGTGATCCTACTTCAGACATACATGATCTGTATGATTCCCACCTCAGACATACATGACCATGGGCGATCCCACCTCAGACATAACATGATCTGTGTGATCCTACTTCAGACATACATGATGTGTGTGATTCCCACCTCAGACATACATGACCATGGGCGATCCCACCTCAGACATGACATGATCTGTGTGATCCTACTTCAGACATACATGACCATGTGTGATCCCACCTCAGACATATATGACCTGTGTGATCCCACCTCAGACATACATGACCTGTGTGATCCCACCTCAGACATACATGACCTGTGTGATCCCACCTCAGACATACATGACCATGGGCGATCCCACCTCAGACATACATGACCATGGGTGATCCCACCTCAGACATACATGACCTGTGTGATCCCACCTCAGATATAACATGATCTGTGTGATCCTACTTCAGACATAACATGATCTGTGTGATCCCTCCTCCGACATGCCCCTGTGTGATTCCACCTCAGACATATCTCTGTGTTCCCACCTCAGACATACATGACCTGTGTGATCCCACCTCAGACATACACAATCTGTGTGATCCCTCCTCCGACATGCCCCTGTGTGATTCCACCTCAGACATAACTCTATATGTTCCCACCTCCGGTGTATCCGCGTGCCCACCTCAGAGACACCAACCGCAGGCTGTAGGCATGGGGTACCTTATAGCCACTGAATTCCCCTTGCAGGTATGTCCGTGACCTGACCAGCAGCAAGGAGGGATGGGTGCCAGCCAGCAGTCTGTCCACCCTCCTGGGCAAATCCAGCTCGGCTCAGTGTCTGAGCAGCTCAGGTAAGACCTACTGTGTGCGCCAGCTGTGCCCTGAGCCTGCCAAGATCCTCAGCCCAGAGCCTGTTTAAAGGCAGAGGTTTCTAGGTGTGCAGAGGAAAGGGCCAGAGCCGAAGTCTGTCTCCACTGGTTTCCCGCAGACTCCAGTCCAGGGTCAGCCGTGCTGAGCAACTCCTCCAGCTGCAGCGAGGGCTGCTCCATCCCCTTCTCCGAGCTCCAGGGATAGTGGCCAGGCCTCTGCGGCAGGCACTCGAGGCCACCGTGCAGTAGACCAGCATGCAGATCTCTAAGTTTTCTTTTGCTTGGGCTTGCTTAGTGTGGGAGGGGATGGTGCTCCGAGACATCTGGACAGGAGGACCCTATCAGCCGTGGGCTTCAGAGGACACTGGGGCCTTGGCACCACAACTCCATTGCATGTGCAGAAGCCAGGAGACCACAGTCCACCACCAAAGCTACTTTCAAAACTCCAGAGTGGACAGAGGAGGGGCTATGGGTCAGGAGACCCCTGTGCAGAAATGTGGGAGAGGCCCCTTCTCATATTTGGGCAGCCAACAGACCCTGCTGTGCAGCCTCTCCAAGGTGTCCTGACCTCTCTGGTGCTCTCTATGGGAACATCATCCCGAGGAAGGCACTTCTAACAGGAGTGGACAGTTTGCTACCAACAGCCCAGGAGGGGATCAAGGGACTCTTGTCTTTTATAAGTTTTTGATTTTTTTTTTAAACAGGGATTAATCCCATGGCCATTTTTTTGTGGTACTCTGGCCTCAAATCTTTACCAAGAATCACTGTGTTTACATGAAATGACAATTTGATACTGTATTTGATATAAAACTATTTTTTGTTACTGGGGTTTACATCGAAGCATGTTGTTTATACAACTAAATGATTTCTGGGGCACTCTCACTGAGACCTGGCACTCCCTGGAACACATCAGTCCCAGGTGAAGAAAGGCCTGGTAAGTCGGCGGACGTCTCCTCCACCAGAAACAGTCGGAAATCACTGAGAGTCTCACATCTGCATAGGTTTTGTTTTCTCAAGAAATGTAAAGTATAATTTAAAATATTAACCTTCTTTTCTACAATAAAAGGGAGACTCTCCATTTTTTAAAAGAATGTCATTAAATTAGGATATTTTTATTATTTTTAAAGAAGATGTAAAAATCCATGCTGTCAGCCATCCTCAGCAACATGGGCACCGGCTGCCTCTCCATGTCAGGGCAGGCCCCGCTTCCCCTCCCCTAGCTCACGGGGGACCTGCAGCCTTCATTCAAGTCACGGCAGAATTGCCATGAAAACCATTGCTTTTTCCCCCTTTCTGTATGTGTCTGAGAAACAAATTCTGTTCTTTGGAAACGTTCTGTGCCTGGTAGGGCCGATATTTTTATATGTATGTATATATGTTCACGTGTGTACATATGGTCTGGGTGTAAAGGATGTATTTATGGCCTCATGCTGCCGAACATCTGTCACTTTACGGTCCCTCCCTGTCTTCTCACCCCGCTGCCATGGGAGGCCACCGAGGCTCGTTCACCACTGTATGTCCAGGTAAAATGCCCTCCTCCCCCCGCCCTACGGCTTGCAAAGCCATTACTGGCCACACCTTCAGAGAATGGTAACAAAATAAAAAACGTGCAAAGATTCTGTAGCATTTCTGGTGTATATGTTACGTGGGAAGAATCATGGAATATAATCTGTCCAGCCTGTTCGAAAAATGCCACCCTCTTTTATGATCTCATCCTCATAAAGATACTTCAAAATGTCACATTTGCCAAGCATGTGGCACGCCTTAATCCCAACACTGCAGATGCAGAGACAGAGGCATGGGGCTCTCTGAGTTTGAGGCCAGCCTGATCTACATACAGCGTTCCAGGCCAGTCAGAGCTACACAGTGAGACCCTGTCTCAAAAAAACAAACAATGTCACGCTTCATTCATGGTTGCTTTTACTTTCTACTGCTTATATAAATGAACACTTAAAGTCAGAAGTCTTTATTGTATGGATGAAGTTTAGATACTGGCCAGCAACTCCTGCTGTCCACCATGTTGGCAAAGGCACTAGGCTCCCAGCACACTGGCACTTGGTGATGGTCACAAATGCCCAGTATGGCAAGGATGAGGAACGAGGCAGGAGGTGGTAGGATATAGAGGACGTGCAGGCACCAAGTATGTTTTGATGTCTGTTTTAGTTCATCAGACAGTGATGTTAAAATAGTACCAGGATATAATTGTGAAAAACGTGAAGGGGACCAGAGACGTGCAGCAGAGACATTACAGAGTGATGATATCACACTTGACAACTCTTCGCTGAAAAGTTAGAAAAGAAGGGTGGATAAATGGGGAAAGAATGGTGAGCAGAAAACACAAAAATATAATGAAGAGATGGATCCCGACATGTCTGACTCACAGTGTGACTCATGTCCTGATTGATGTGTCGGGCAGCAAGCTCCAAGTAGGCTTGGCTTCAAATAGCTGCTGAAGGAGACCCTGAACAGTGTGTAAAATTTAAATCAATGACTGAAAATGAAAGCAAGAAGATTAGCCCACATGAACACAGAAGAACTCTGACATAGCAATGCTGATAACAAAGATGAAATTTAGGGCGGTTAGAGTATAAGGAACCAGGAGGTGATCACAAACTTGTAAGTCAGGAGTAATGCCCACAGTGCAGACAGCAAGCCCGGGCAGTCAGATGTTACTGTCATAGACACTGATACCTGTCCATCAAACATAAAATGGCGCCGTTTTCAGCACACACACGGCATACACAAAACAATGGAATACGCAGTTGGTAAAGGGTATTTGGAAGTCTGGAGCCATTACTCTGATGTCACCAAAACTCTGTTCCCTAGAGCTGAACAGATAGCTAAGCCTCAGCACCTGAGGGCTGCAGCTGAATCGTGACTGGAATTGTACCACCCTCAATCTAACATGACTAAATTATAGTTACTCACTTGAGTAAGATAACAAATACAGTCAGTAAAACTCAAAGTATAAAGAAGAAATTACTACCTTGAGGGAAGAAAATAAAAGCAAACAAAAAATCTAAACCTTGATTATAGAAAAACTGTAATTTATAGAAAAACCAGGAAGCTGTTTAGGAGACAGTGTGACAACATGTCTGTTTAACAAAACAACAGTAGCAGTGCACGCGCGCCAGAATTCCTTCCTGTGGAGCCGGCCTCAAACCCAAATCAGAGAAGAGCAGGTTACCCCGTAACAGTCATGCCACTACTACATAGGCTCATTTACCCGGCAGCTCACTGTCCTAGCGTGCAGGGCCCACTGATGGGTGGAACAGCTGATGACGATTTCTCCTGGTGGGTACCTCCAGGACTGTGAAAACTAACCACCAGGGAGGAAGTTCCCAGGTCAGTTCCAGTCTGATTTTTCTATATGCTGCCAGCAAAGTATGGGGTATCTTCAGCCATCATCTAGTTACGGTGGGCAACCCAGAACAATGGCCTGTGTTGGAAAGCAGACCCACATATTCTAATCAAGTAAATGGGTCCATGTCGTTGAAGTATGGTGGGTGCAAAATCAGAAAAACACTGCGATAATTTAGCACGTTAAACTCAGTCATGTAAGTCAGCAGCTTCATAGATGTACAAGATTTTTATTGATCATTTCTTTATCATGGCTATCATACCAGGATATGCTTTAAAAAAATTACCAGTTTTTAACCTGGTAAAGCATGTCTAACAATCTTTAAAGCAAAATCTTTCCATTTCTAGATGCCTTAAGAATCCTCATCCTAGCAGGAGTAGAAGAGGGAGGTGAGCAACAGCCTTTCCGGCACAGAGAACAAGCACGGGGATGTCCCACTCTTGGGATCATTTACTAGAAACACTAGGGAACCACACAGAGGAAAAGGACATGGGTCATGTAACTGTCCGTAACTAGAAAATCCAGGAGCATTTTAGCATCACCCATTATTAGCAAAGGAGTCCTCAAGACGAACCCGCAAAGCAAGGCACAGATCCAGAGAAAATAGAAGTGATACAGTTGTAATCTTTAGGATTCGGGTCAGCTCTCTAGCTCTTAAACTTCCAATTACTAACATCATCACCACTGGTCCACAACCTTCCCAGGGCATCGGAACCCACGGGCATCTTTAAGCTCTGCTCTTACTTAGGACCACTCCTAAGATTCTTGTTCCTTGTGGAGTGAGGGAGTATCTGTGTAGGGGTCACGTATGTGCAGGTGGGTGAGTGTAGCATGCATAAGGATGGTACATAAGTGTGAAGATGGTGTGTACAGGTACAAGTACATGTGCAAGTGTGAGCTGCACGGCCCAGGTCTCCCCTGCAGGTCTTTTCCAGGTCTTAGGGCCATACCCAGCATTCTGTCCTTTACAGCGTCATCACTGTGTTGGACGTCCATCTGTCCCACCTCCAGTCTGAGCTTTGCCTGCCATAATGTCCCTCTTTTCCTGGACAGCTGCTGGAGACATGCATGCCAGCTTCCAGCCAGCCTCACACCACTTCCTGCCTATGCTCGAGCTTTCTCCACCCCTCTCCCCTCCCCGCTGCCCTTTGCTCTCCCAGCAGCATCTGGACAAGCCTCAACAGGAACCGATAGTCTCATCATGGTTCCTCAGGCTCGTGGGCTGGTACTGTGTTGCTTTCTGCTCCAGCTTCAGGGACCCCTGGGAGCTGTAGGTACGGAAGTCCTGTCTGTCCGGGGAGGGTTATTCTGTGGACTGGGTGAGTTGAGAAGCCAAGCTGTTTGCAGCAGCGGCTGGGACATCAACAGGAACCCCCTCACAGGTGGCTCCATCTGATGTATGTCCCTGCCAAATGCAAATAGTGTCTGGATGTTTACCACCAGGAGATAGACTGTTCTTCACAGGGGCGGGGGCTTTGGGAATTGTTTTCCAAAGACTTTTTAGAAGTAGGGAGCTTTACTGTCCCCTATGGACACCTGCCTGTGAAGTTGGACCCTGGAGGCCACTCAGTGCACAGCTCTGGGGCCAGAGGTCCAACATGTCAGGACAGCCACAGGACATTGAGCTACAGGGCTTGCTCACTGTGGTCACAGCCATAGTTCCTCATTTAAACACACACACACACACACACACACACACACACACACACACACACAGCTCTGAGGCCTCAGGGGAGAAAGTTTGAGAACATACGTGGAAAGTTGCAGGGCCTCACATACAGGAAGAGAGGATGCCACTAATGGTCTGCTGCATAGTGACATGGGTGGTCCAGCTAGTACTGTCCCCTTGAAAATCTATGGCAAGTGAGGATTGTAGTGGATTGTTCTCCTGTGGAGCTAAGTGGCAGCAGGACAGCAATGGCTTTCCCAGACGTTCCCAGCTTTCCCAGACACTCTGCAGCTGGGTGGGGACCTTGGGATCAGGTTTGCTTTGGAACCCTAGGAGGTTTATGGAAGCAAACTTGCCTTCTCCTAAGGGCTCACCGCTCAGCCTGACCAAGCTGTATGTGTCCGGTGGCTGGTGACAGATGGGTCTTCCTCTGCCTGGTGAAGGTCCTTGACTGGTTATGTTTGACAGCATTCCCATCCTTCCTTTCCAAACCAGACTGAGTCTCTAGGAACACCACTTATGAAAGACTCCCCAACTTGAGAAAGACACAGTGGTCCTCGGCCCTTCCTCTTCCCTCTCGCTGTCCCTTTCAAGATGATTCATCTGACTTCCACTCTTGTCCTGCCAGAGGACCCTCCTTTTGGGTACGCCAGCATCCTCCCGGTGACCAGAGCCACCCTTTCAGCCCCACCTAATGCCAATCCCTCCCAGCAAGGCCCATAGGGGTTTTCCTTCCTTAAATGTGCCACCTCTGCATGGGGAAGACCTGTGTCCCCATCTCCTTTGCCCTCTTCCTGAATGCACTGGCTGCTTTTGACTCTTCCCTGGCTCTCTTCTTGTCTTCTCTCTTCCGACCCCAGGTAGACGCCTTCCCAAGGCTGCCCCTCTCACGGACATCCCAGGCACACAGTTCATGTCGCGTAGTTGTCTTATGGGGACTCTCAGGGCCTCATCTTCATACTTGGTTTCCACTCCTGACTAATTTTAGGTTACTTAAAACCCTCATCCCCTCCCCCCACATTCATATCTGGGGTTCAGACCCCATGTCCATTGGGGTGTCCCAAAGAATCCTCAAATTCAGCATGTCCAAACTAGTGTGGCTGCCTTCATCAAACCTTTACTTTTCCGAAGCCAGGTGGGGAGCACTGGTCACCTAGTTTATCTCTGGCAGGCAGGGCTGTGTGGGGAAGGCTGGATCTGGTTCTGGGACCTAATGGAACATCTCCAATGTAGCAAATCACAGGTCCAGGAGGCCCAGTTGAGGCAGGTGTGACCATGGCACCCAGGGCTGGTGATATGTCCTCATAAGATCTGAAGCCCCAGGCCTGTATGACTTGAGGTTCCTGAATTGACTCAGGACACAGCACAGGGGACACAGATGTGGGAATGGGCAAAGAATTTAAATAGTGTTTGTGCACACGTTTTTCTGCATACACAGAAAGGGATTTCACACCGTGTGGTTTACTGCCTCCCTTTTGCTGGACGTCACGTCTTAAGCCTGTGTTCACTGACATCACAGGAGACTGGCAGCCCCAAACTATTCCTACCAATACATTACTTAGTGAGTTTTTTGTATGCCCTCCAACTGTTTTCTCATTGTAAATCCCTGAAAGAGATAGTAAGCAGGTCAAACCATGTGCATATGGTAAGTTTTCATTTCATCTGATGCATGTATCACCATACACTTCTATGTAAGCTGTGCCATGTTATCTGTCACCAACCATCAGTGAAAACCCACCCAGTTTAAATTCAGCTGAGCCGGGAGCTGTCATGCTCTGTGACCTTCAGCCCGTAGAAGAGGGTATGCCGTTGAAGGAACCAACCTATGGCCTTCCATTCCTTGAGATGGACAGGAACTCTTTGGTTCCTATCCCAGAATAGAAAAAGATTAAAGTGGGTAGGTTGTTCAATCACTGAGGGAGATGGATATGGCTGTGTCCATCACTGAGAGATCTAGCATGTGTGGTTTCCATGAGCTGACCCAGTGTGGTTTCCTTCACTCACTGGGAGGATCCACTGTGGGTGTGGAGGATCCAGTGCTGGTGTGGAGGATGCAGTGCTGATGTGGAAAGTCCAGTGTGGGTGTGGAGGATCCAGTGTGGGTGTGGAGGATCCAGTGTAGGTGTGGAGGATCCAGTGCGGGTGTGGAGGATCCAGTGCGGGTGGGGAGGATCCAGTGTAAGTGTGGAGGATCCAGTGTGGGTGTGGAGGATCCAGTGTGGGTGTGGAGGATCCAGTGCGGGTGTGGAGGATCCAGTGCGGGTGTGGAGGATCCAGTGCAGGTGTGGAGGATCCAGTGCGGGTGGCTTCTGAGCAGCTTGAGGAAAGTTGCCAGTACTGCATGGGACCTTCTGTTTCTCAGTTTTCATAACCCAGGAGGAAGCACACAGTGTCGTACACAGGCAAAGGCGTGCCAACTCCTTCATGGAGGAGCTTTGGCCGGGCTCCCTGGAGAGAGAGTGTCTTGAGGAGAAGTGCTCCTTTGAGGAGGCCCAAGAGATCTTCAAGAGCCCCGAGAGGACAGTGAGTGCCCCTCACCCCGGGTGCCGGCTCCTGTGTAGCACTGAGACTGGCAGGAAGTGAGCTGGGGATTGCGAGGGCCACACCTGTGTCTCTGAACCTGTCTCCCCATTTCTGTGGTAGCTGTCACTCAGTACACATAGGAACCCTGAAACACACAGGCTTCTACTCTCAACCACACCATATGCAAATTTTTACAACAGAAAAATCAACAACTCCTGAAGCGCACTTGATGTGTCTATTTTCCCAAAGGAAAACCCCTTATTCCCTAGGGATCCAGGGCTGCCCCAGAAGTTGACCTGAGAAGGGAAGATTGCCCTCCCAGGAAGGGCTGGCCACACATGCACACACACACACACACACACACACACACACACACACACACACACACACACTCCTCACTGCTGTCCCTGCAGCAGGCAGCTCCTCTGGAAACGTGACAACGCTGTGGCTTCCTCCACCACACTTGGCCATGTGCACAGATCTGTCTTCGCTTCTGATTTGATCTGTTTGTTTGTTTTAGTTTGTTGAGACAAGGTCTTGCTATGTAGCCCAGGCTGGCCTCCACCCTCCATCTCCCTGCCTCTGCCTCCCAATTCCTGGAATTACAAGTCTGCGCTACTCTGCCTGGCCCTGTGGTTTCATTTTGTGGACAAGGCATATTTAAACATTATTGAGCCTTTCCCTTTCTGGTTAGGCATCTGTCTTTAACATTTTCCTAGGATGGGTGTGTCGGGGAGACTGGGTTCATCCCATTTCCCTTTGTCCTCATCTCTGGAAAAAGTAGTCAGTCACAGTCACATCCCCAAGTTATGTGAGGGGCCTGTTCATTCTCCGAGGACATTTTTTCCTCACCAGCTTTGACTCAAATCACATCTCACACTCACAGAACATCTCTCTCTCACACAGGAGTTCTCATACAGATGGCCTAACATTCACAGGAGGCCTTACACTCACAGGAGGCCTCACACTCACAGGAGGCCTCACACTCACAGGAGGCCTCACACTCACAGGAGGCCTCACACTCACAGGAGGCCTCACACTCACAGGAGGCCTCACACTCACAGGAGGCCTCACACTCACAGGAGGCCTCACACTCAGAAGGCCTCACACAGGAAATTCACGCGTACAGGAGAATTTACACCCACAGAACACCTCGTTCTCCCAGGATACCTCACAAACTCAGAGGATGCGTCACACAGGATGAGACCCCTCATTCACAGAACAACTCTTTCACACGTGTCCTCACACGCGTGGGACACCTCACACAGGGAACCCGCAGGAGTTGCTTTTCTCATTGAAGGAAAGACGGGTTTATTTCGGTTCACGGTTCAGGAGGAAGTCCACCATGGCCGGCAGGGAAGGCGCGAGAGCAGGACAGGAGGCAGCGAGTCACCGTGCATCCAGTCAGGAAGCAGAGAGCGATGGATGCTGGTGCTCATCTACCTCACTTCTTCCTCTTTATTCAGTCCAGGGCTCCCCTGGGATGATGCCCCCGACACTTAGAGTTCCCGGCCACAGCTGGAGAAAGTCGGCTCAGGGCCAGAACTCAGGTGCTCTGATCTGGGTCGTGGCTTTAGATATCTCTAGAAAAGGCGTAGAAAACATCAACCTCGGATAAGCCCTCCTCATTTCCAAAGGAAACCTGTCTTCCCAAGCCCCTCAGAGAGGCCCGGGTCAGGAGCCCCACCCCTAGCTCCCAGGCTCCCTCCATGGACACTAACTGTACTCCTCGTGAACGTGCCTCATACGGCTTCTTCTTCTTCCCCCCTAGAAGCAGTTCTGGATTGTTTACACTGGTGAGTAGGTGAGAAGTTATTTGTGCCCCTGCCCCAGAACCCTTCTTTGCAGCCCACTAATGCCGACTCACCCACAGATGGGGACCAATGCGCCTCGAATCCGTGCCAGAACGGGGGCACCTGCGAGGACCACCTCCAGACTTACATCTGCTTCTGCCTCCTAGACTTTGAGGGCCGGAACTGTGAGACGAGTGAGACCAGCTCCCTGCCTCAGTTTACAGATGGATGGAGTGGGGAGGGGAGGGCCTGAGTGCCTGGTTCCAGGGTGTACAGCCCCATCAAGGAAGAGTGTGGGGGGGGGGTGTCCAATCCAGCCTCAGCCCCTGTGGGAAATCCATCTAGGAGACATTAAGTACTCTTTTCAAACTGGGAGCCTTTGATCTATGAGTCTAAGATTTGGGGTCTCAGACTCGGTTTCCCTTTTGGCTCTCTGGGAATTCTGGTGGTCTGGAGAGAGCTGAGGGAGGGTCCCTGTGTCACTATCCAGATTCTGTCCCCACCAGGCAAGTCAGCCGGGTAAACACCATCCTCTCTGCCCGCGGGTTTGAAGGTATGAAGTCTTTCTTCAGCATTAAAACAGCAAAGTGTCGATCGCTAAGCTTGGAGAGCAGCAAAGCATTCTGGCCCCAGCAGTCCCCTAGTGGGCCTCATAGACTCTCCCGGCTGCAGAAAGACACATGAGGATTTTGTTTCACCCGAAGCCGGTTTCCAGGTGTGCTCTTCTGTGGCCTCACACAGGCCGCCCTGGATCCTTCTGGAATGGCATGAAAAGTACCATGGAGTATCACCAACCCAGCAAGTCTTTTAACCCCAGCCCCTATGTGCAGTCACATAGATGTGAAAGCCCTGTCTCCAGCCCCTCCCGGGGCCCAAGGCCCACTATCAACCATACCTTCAGCTAGCCATCTATCTGTATGGCCCAAGGCCCCAGACAAGCAGCAGTATTCTGGTCGGAGAATCTCCCAAGGTTGCCTCTTGGGTCAGGGCAAAGGGCTCCTCTCTTCGGACCAAGGGCTCCTTGTTGCCCAAGTGGGTTCTTCTTGGTGTTGGATGCCTCCTGTTCTCATCAGATGAGGCCAGAAAAAGTAAACAGGAAGGCGAGAAGGGGGTTCACAAAAGGTCCCTGACCTGAGAGGCCTGTGCATCTTAGTGAGCACTGGTTGTGAGCCACTGGACGGGCCTCCGTACTGAAGCTCTGGGCTCACGTGCTGAGTGAGCTAGCTTCTAATGCGCATGCGCGGCACAACTGAACTGACCACGCCCCTCTTCTGTCTGGGCCAGTGGCCTATGCTGGAACCAAGGGCCTGGATGGCTCACGTGGTCTTGAAGGTTGGCCCTAGGTTAATTTCCCCCTTTGCCCCTTCCATGGGCCAGTTTCCCATTCTGTTGAGAGTTTTCACTGTCCCTGGGAAGCGTTTGCTTACCTTCAGAACCCTTCCCAGCATCTCCTTAGATTCTTGGAAGGGGAAGCCGCTGCACCCCAGCCTAGCGCCCTCCAAATGCCACTGAGGCCGCCGCCGCCGTCAGGATTGCTCAGATGTCTGACTCCCAGCTCCAGGTCTCCTCCCTCCAGCTCAGTCACCGCAGGGCAGGTGACACCAAGTTCAGCCTCAGTAGTCTGCAGCCACACACCGCCTCCCAAGGGGACAAAAGCAACCACCCCCGCGGCTGACCTGCCAGCCTTGTCAAGGCCTCTCAGACTGTCTTCTCCCGTCCTCAGACAAGAACGAGCAGCTGATCTGCGCGAAGGAAAACGGTGGCTGTGACCAGTACTGCGCTGACCATCCGGGGACCAAGCGCACCTGCTCCTGTCACGAGGACTATGTGCTCCAGCCGGATGAGGTATCCTGCAAACCGAAAGGTAACAGGCGGCAAGTTGTCAGCCCAAAGACGTATAACAAGGCCAGACCCCTGCTAAGCCAGCGTCTGATAGACACTGAATGGCTGAGAGGTGGAAGATGGGGAGCTGAAGGGCACCCTGCCGGGGAGCTCCTAGCTTGGAACTCTGAGCCAGCATCCTGCACTGTCTCAAGTGCCCTGAATATCGAAGGCAGGCCAGGAGGGAAATGAGGCCCTTCATCTCCTCTGATGCCCAGTTTGGACATCTCTGGGACACACCTGGGAGTCACATAGACACACCTGTCGAATGTGCCCACTGCTACACAGTTAAGAACGTGAGATGACTTGTCATAACACATTACGCGCATGTGGCTGGGGGACGTGTTGTGAGTGCACTGTCTGCAGAGGTCAGAGGGTGTCAGATCCCCTGAAGTTACTGTGTTCCAGCTGGGAGCTGCCTGACAGAGAGGCTGGGAACCGAATTCGGGCCCTCTGCAAGAGTAGTAGACGCTCTTAACTGCTGAGCCATCTCCCCAGCCTCAGCCCCAGATGCCTTAAAGTTCTCATAATGAGACAATTGAAGGGAAACAAAAGTTCTCCATAATGAGACTATTGAAGCTATATTTCCAAAGGCCCTGGCTTCCTCAGGAGAGGATGGATTCAGCCTGGTCCGTGAAACAGGAAGGTTAGCGGACCCCACAACTAAATCTTCTTTCTTACCCAAGTAAGGGAGGAAGGATGAGTGAGGTCAAAATAGCGCATCATTCTGTTCATTTTCACACAGATCATCACTTACCAAACCGGAGCAATATGTCTACCCTAGGAAGACCTGCCAGACTGCAGCTCTAGAAAGCAGGACCTCAGTTTTCCCTAAACCAATGTCTATCTCCTCTCCCAGATGCTGCAATAGGCCTCCCTGCCCACCCTAGAAGGAAGCACCCATCTCCTCTGCCCTGAGGCCTCCCACTGTCCCTCGCAGGGGCCCGCCGCTTCTGAACCTCTTCCCACAAGCACCTTCACCTCAGCACACACCCCCTTCCTGTCTTCTGTTTTATACAGTTGAGTATCCGTGTGGAAAAATACCTGTTCTGGAAAAAAGAAATTCCAGTGGCCCCCAAGGCCGGATTGTGGGAGGCATGGAGTGCCCCAAAGGCGAGTGTCCATGGCAGGTAAGGCCCTCGGTCCTGTGCAGACCCCGCTTCTCTAGCTCTGCCTCTCTGACTTCAGGGTTTGTACCCCGGAGTGTGGAAGTTTTGAATTGGGTCATGTTTACACATAAGGAACATGGGCCTCCACCCCACTCACATCCCAAGGTACACACACACACACATGCATGCTCAGGTGGGTCACCTGAGTGCCTCCACGCACACCCCATCATCTAGCATCCCTGTTGTCTACCAGAGCCACCAGATCCAGGGCTGCTCTAAATCCCCAGAGGCCCTGTATTGCAGGCAGGAATCTTGTCAAGCCATCTGCTTCCTGGAGGCAAGGAGACCGTAACAATAGTGTGACTTTCCATGTCTGTGTGCCCCTGCCCAGGCTGTGTTGAAAAGCAGTGGGGCATTGCTGTGTGGGGCCATTCTATTGGACACCGCATGGATCGTGTCTGCAGCCCACTGTTTTGATAGGATCCCGAGCTGGAGGAACATAACGGTGGTGATGGGTAGGTATGACCTGTCCCTGGGCATTTTCAAACTGACCGTGGCTCAGGGGCTGAGGCTCCATGGCCCATCAGCCTCCCTGACCAGATGACATCTCCAGGGAGGGCCACACTGGAGCTGACCCACTTTGTCCTCTGCGCTCCCCCCCCCCCAACTCAGGGAATAGGGCAAGGTTTGGGGTTGCTTTTTCCATCCTGCCCCTCTCATGAACCTGGGTCCATCCACTCCTCACTCCCCCTCAGTACCCAGGCCCCAGGTTCAGCCCATTCACAACCTTCCATCCATAAATGCAGCGGGCCCTGGTGCTGGCTTTCCCTGGGACCCTGTAGAGGATACAAATTCTCCTGATACCAGAGGCTGAACTGGCCACAGCCCCGTCCATATGCTCTAGGCCAGAGGGCCAAGACAAGCAAGAATTCTGTGTGGGGATATGACCACACATGGTAGGATATGTACCATGAGAGGTACGGCTTCCTCTCAGGTGAGCATGACTTCAGTGAGAGGGACGGGACCGAGCAAGTACGGCGGGTGATCCAGGTTGTATTCCCTGACAAGTACGTCCGAGGCCAGATCGACCACGACATTGTCCTTCTTCGCCTCCACCGGCCTGTGACTTTGACTGACCACGTGGTACCCCTGTGTCTGCCTGAAAGGGCCTTCTCTGAGATGACCCTATCCAGAATCCGCTTCTCAAGGGTCAGTGGCTGGGGCCAGCTGCTGGACCGTGGCGCCACAGCCCTGGAGCTCATGGCTGTCGAAGTGCCCCGGATGATGACTCAGGACTGCCTGGAGCATGCCAAGCACAGTCCTGACACGCCCCACATCACAGACAACATGTTCTGCGCTGGCTACATGGACGGCACTAAGGATGCCTGCAAGGGAGACAGCGGCGGCCCACACGCCACACACTACCGTGGCACGTGGTACCTGACAGGTGTGGTCAGCTGGGGGGAGGGCTGTGCAGCTGTCGGCCACATTGGGGTGTACACCAGGGTCTCCAGGTACACGGACTGGCTGATCAAAGTCATGAACTCCAAGCTCCAGGTTGGGATTCAGCGAGTCAAACTATTCTAGCTCCTTGGACAGCCCAGCCTTTCTGAAGGAGGAAATTGATGCTGTGGGGATGCTGTTATGTATCAAAACCTATTGACTCTCCTGCTATTCCTGGGGTGGGGAAGAAGAAAGAGATAAAGAGAGGATCAAGAGTGAAGGGATGGTGGTGGCGCACGCCTTTAATCCCAGCACTTGGGAGGCAGAGCCAGGTGGATCTCTGTGAGTTCGAGGCCAGCCTGGGCTACATAGTGAGTTCCAGGAAAAGGCTCCAAAGCTACACAGGGAAACCCTGTCTCAAAAAAACAAACAAAAATAAATAAAAAAAAACAAGGGCGAAGTAAAGAAAGCGATAGAGTGAAGGAGGCAGAGAGGGAGGTAAAGGAAAGAGGCTGAGAGAGAGGGAAACAGGAAGGGAAGCAGAGGGAAGAGTCTGAATTAGAGACTAACAAAGACACTCAGAGAGGCTGGGTAGCAGAGCCACAGGCAGGCAGCCCCAAGAGACAGGGTGGTCCTGAGGGAGACAAGGCCCAGCCTCTGCTACTGTCTCCCTGTAGCTACCTCCCGTCTGCCTGAGGTGCCACAGACAGTAGGTGTGCACACACGCATAGGGAACACGTGTGTGCACAAGCATGCATGTGCATTCATGACGCATACATCATCTGCACCATTGTTCACTTTCATTTCTTCCGTTTTTTGTGCGAGTACCCTGTCTCTATTTCAATTAAATGAGAAATACCACCTGAGCTTGTGGGGGTCATCCTTCCGGGTTTCCCAAGGGAGAGTGTTTCTGAGGTAGTGTACGCGCCTGCCATTCACTGCTTCCCACCGACAGCGAATGACTGACCTTCTCAGCACATCTTGGGGATGCCTATTGTCCCCCTGGGTTGACCTTTACTCCCTGAGTGGAGCCTCTGATGCCCAGTCAGATGCACGTGGGCAGGGCTGTTCTTCCTGGGAAGAAAGAGAAGGCAGACTGAGAGCCAAGGGGGAGCCGAGGGGGTTCGATCAAGTGCTTGCGAGCCCTCGGTCTCCCCGATCACCAGTAGGTAACGCAGGTGTCCAGCTCACAGAGCTGTCTTGAGATGGCACCAAGAGCCCCTGAGAGGCCTGACTTGAGGGTCTAGCTCTCCAAAGACTGATACGATCAGTTTGAGATGTGCCGATTCTCTAACCAGCACTTCCTTTCTGGAGTGGGGCCAGAGAGAGGGTAGGGTACAAAGGAAGGACCCCCACCCCACACACACACCTCCTCTGTCAAACCAGCATTAGTTTTTGGCCCTAATCCCAGACCACAGGTCTGCTATGAGTACCTTGCCTCCTCACCCCTGATGCCACCACAGATTCAGTGTAGGCACCGTGACCTCCACATAGGCACCACCAGGCAGGGCAGAGGTCAGACACCAGAGCACCACACACCTTTTCCAAGTTCTATTACAGTCTGGCACAGCCCGATTAAGGGCGGTGACTTCCCTCCTGGTGAGATGCCAACACCAGCCTCGACATCTGACATCCCTGGGTGTGTGTGTCAAGCACCCACAGCGTGCCAAGGCCCTCTCGGCACTGGCAACCGTGATAAGCCAAACACCATTCCAGTATTCTCTGGCTACGTGCATGCAGCCACGGTCATGAGCTGTTGCCTCATCAGCCACCGTAGGCAGCACAGGCTGTAGCCAGTACAGTGGGCATAAGGAGCCCCATTTCTGCCCGCGAACGTGCAGACACTGTGTGCATACTCCCCAGATCAAAAACGTCTTCACCAGATGAGGGCTGCTAAGGAGGGCTTGGTCAACATGAGCTCCAGCAGTCTCGTCCACTTGGAGAAAGTGGGGACAGGGTGAATGCTGAATTTTAGAGAGTTTTGTTGTCCGCTGCTGCTGTTTTCCAGGGACTCCGAAGCATAGACTTCCAGTGGTACCTCCTGGTGACGGGCCGTGAGCTCAGAACCACTGGGTCTGACATTACAAGAAAGATGTCTGGGCTCGGGGAGGCCCCGCCGCCGCCTGGCTTGTCGTCCCAGTTACGTGCAGACACACTCGCAGCAGAGTCACGTGGCCACAGCATGGGAGAGGAGCTGTTTCCACATTTACAGCCCCCCAATGACTTGCCCCTCTCTGGCCTCCTCTTTCAGAACGGAGGGAAAACGGCCACCCCTTTGTAGAACCCACCCAAGGTGTGAGCCATGTGCTCTGCATAGGTGTCCGTGACCGTCAAACCCCAGACCTCCCCTCACACATTCTCCACCTTCCAGGCCTACAGCAAGATTGGAAGTGGCAGGCCCAGTGGACACTCCCACCCTCCCTGCACCCTCCCCCAACCAACCCTGACGTGTGCCATGGGTCCCTGTGGACTCTCCTGGATGTCACCACAGAGAAGTGAACTTGTGCCAAGACGCCAGCAGTTCAGGGCTTGGGTCCCCAGTAGCCTAGACTATTTCTGTGACTAGACTGTGCAGCCATTGTCCAAGGGACACACTCGTGCCCAGGGTTAGCTGGGGCCAGCCGGAGGACTGAGGGCTTGGATGTAAATGCCACCTGTGCCCTGCTACCCAGGTTTTATCTCATCTCCATCTCAGCTTCTGTTTCTGAAAAAAAAAAAAAAGATGAGAAAGTGACACTTTGACCAGATGTATAAGTACTAGCAGGGGATGGGATGAGTATTAGAAACCCAGAAAATACCCATCAAATGGTATTGTCACTCTCTGTTGCACGAATCCTAAATGGTCTCATAGTAAAAACCCAGAGCCAGATGTTGGGGTCAACGCTGAAAGATCAGAGGAAACAAGCCATAGCCACTTCTCACCTCACCAACTCCCCAGCCGAAAGGGGAAGATCCTGTCTCCACCAATCCTCAGACTGGATGTCTCTGAGTCCTCAGCTGAAAGGGTCTAATTCCTGGCTCCTCCCACCTTATATTCCTCTCTCTGCCCAGCCATATCACTTCCTGTCTCCACCTCCCTAGTGCTGGGATTAAAGGTGTGTGACTCCCAAGTACTGGAATTAAAGGTGGGTGCCACCACTGCCTGGCTGTTTCTCTTTTAAACTGGATTAATCTCGTGTAGTCCTGGGAGGCTTTGAACTCATAGAGATCCAGATGGATCTCTGCCTCCCAAGTGCTAGGATTAAAGGTGTGTGCCATTCCCAGAAGTATTAAAAAATATGATGTAACATTTTAATTCTAATGTCTTCCTCATTGACATGTATACTGTATGTATTGCTTGGTGTAGATATTGACATAGAGATCTTTAAACTGCATTGCAAATATTCTATTTTGTATTATAGTACTTCACATCTTTAAAGGCCCTGAGGCACGTTGCTGGAAATGTCCGATTATGAAGAACTGAAAGCTCAGTTACAGATCCAGTGACAGGGTCGGGTGTGCTCAGTTGTGAGTGGTGATGAGAACAGCATGCTGTGTAATTCCCAGGATCTGCACACCTTGCTCAAGCTCCTGCATTGCTGTGTTCCTCATAGGACATACTTTTTAAAAATACCCTTTCCCAGATGCAGAGTGCTGGTTAATTCATCCTGCTTCTCAGCTTGGGCTACTGCTGGTTGAAACTGAACGCAGGCTCTTGGCTATACCCAACTAGTTTTGCTGGTAAAACAAAGCAGGAACCAGGCTGTCCTTACTTCCTATCTACTTCAAACAGAAGTTAGTGTGTTGATTAAAAGATAATTTTGCTGTCCCTCGAATATTTTGAATGCTACCTCCTATGAACTCAAGGGACATAAAAATATAAATAGGAAAAAGAATTCCGTATCTAGAAAACACTAATAAAGAATGTCCTAATGGGAAAAAAAAATAAAGGTGTGTTCCACCACTGCCTGGCCTCTGTGGCTAACTCTGTGGCTGGCCCTGTCCTCTGAACCTTAGGCCAGCTCTATGTCTTAGATTACAAATAACCAACACAGCTCTCAGCACAAATCAGGCCTTTCCGGGCAGTTTGGGATAAGGATAGCCCGCCCTGAAAAGGCTGGAGTTGGTGACCACAGCTCCCAGTTCCCTGACCTCACTGCTGGCCTGGTCTCCAATCAGGAGGCTGAGATAAGCAGAAGGACCACAGCCACCTGGGGCCCAGGGTGAGTGAACCTTGCCCTGCGCCTATCACGGCAGCTGCTGTCCTTGACCACACCATGGGGAACCTGCGGCAGCGACTCAGCCTGCTCTGTGTTGTCCTGGCCAGCCTCCTGTTACCTGGAGGAAGTGGTAAGTGAGTGCTCCAGCTCTTCACACTGCAGAGCAGCCCAGGAGGAGGGCATGAGGGTGGGTAGTTGGAAGGGTGGGATGGTGGGTACACTGGCCCAGCCACAGGCTGGCTTCTGCTGGTATAGTTAGGGACAGCTGTGACTACTCACGCAGGGCACAAGGCGAAGGGGTCTGGAGCAAGGAGAAGGGAGGCAAAACAGAGACAGAGAGAGAGGAGGCAGTGATGAGGAGGGAGGGGAGGACAGAGATAAACAGAGGAGAAAAAGCCACCCAGCCGTGGAAGAGACAGGAGCCAGGGCCCCCAAGCTTGGAAGCTCAGCTGGGCCAGAGACTGCCCAAGGCAAGGCTGTACAAACAGGCAACAAGCAGCCCCCAGGCCTGCTCAAAAGAAGGGCTTGTTTTAGTTAACCCGGAGCAGGCTCCGCTCACACCTGCTCACACCCGCTCACAGGGAGCTGGCCTTGCACCAGGACAAGAATCAACCTCTGGCAACACAGGGGCACTTCCCACACATTTGGTCCTTGTTGAGGAAAGCGTCACTGGCAAACCTGACACTCGATCCATGGGTCAATGCCTGCAAGTCACTGCCAAGGTCGGCACCACAGAGACAACCCCATGTTTGAGGACAGCGATGTGCAGGGGCTGGGAAAATCGAAGGCCACAAGCAACAAAACACACCGCCAACACTGAGCAGCCCTCTGTTGGGACATTTGGAGTCTTCGGTGGTTCCCATGGACCAGTGTTCACAACATTACCCTGTTTTAGTTTCATGTGGCCAACCTTGATTTTACTCAAATCAGACCCTTTGGCTGCCAGCCGAGTGGGTCTGCATGACTGTCTAGAAACTGAGTATAGCGTTCCAGCAAAGTCATTCATGGGGACTAAGGTTTAGTCAAAAGAGCAGGACCTGGAGGCCAGACCAGCTGCCTTCATTCCCTGGACAGTGACTCAGTAGCACCTACTGTTTCCAGGCCTAGGACCAGCCACGGGCAGATAGGCCACATCTGTTCATAGGACCACATTCCCAGTGAGGGTGACAGCAGCAAACCGAGAGACACATAACATCAGAGAAGACAAGAAACAGCGCAAGGCAAGGGGGTCCCAGAGACATGGAGGCGGCCAGGGTGCTGGGCCTCCCGAGGGGGTCCTGCGATGGGGCTATCCATGTGAGCCGCTGGGCAATCAATCACTTTTGTGTCCCTGTGACCAAATGCCTGATATAGGCAGCTCAGGGGAGAAAGGGTTCCTTTTAGTTCCTGGTTGCAGGGGTCTCAGTCGGTCATGGCAGGGAGGGTGTGACCGAGGGGAGCAGCTCCCACCGCAGCAGCCAGGAAGCAGAGAGAAGGGAGAAGGGGAGCATGTGGTCTGCTGGGCCTTCCTTTCTCCTCCTTTATTCTCTCTAGGCTCCCAGCCCACGTGGTGACACACCCACGCTCACAGTGCATCTTTCTCCCTCAGCTAGTTCTCTCTGGAAACACCCTCACGGACACACCCAGCGGCGTGTCCCAGTCTAGGGTGACAATGCGGAATCATCATC